AAATTTTTTTCACGAAAGGTTCCCGAACTGCACCTGAACGGTGGACTTGAGAAAAAGTTGAGTTCTACTCCTACCTGTTCGATTAATGAATAACCGCATGACTTTATAATGGAGGGAGGAACTTTATCTGAAGTTTTTTACACTCACTTCTTAATTTAGAAAATTGTATGTAATTGAATTGACTTTTATTTTTAATATAATTCAAGTGAGCGGTTTTTTAGAATAAACAAGATGTTTTAGTTCATTAGTGAACCAGAGTGGGAATTTCGATGAATTGACATATATTTCAATAGTATGCAGTTTTCAAAAATATTATACAAAAGATCATAAAAAGCAGTAACATCATTATCAACATTCTCATCAGAGAATAATAAATTCCAATTAGTAGAATTCAATAGGGTAACAATACCATCAATATTAGCATTTTTAAAATCATATACCATATTAAAATTTTGCAAATAATCAGAATTAATGAGTAGTGAAGGATAATAATTATCTAATGGCAATATACTATCATTTAACAATTCAAATGTAAAATAATCACTATTGCATATGTGACGCGATATGGAGAAAGGGATCTAAGAAGCCGAGCAATATCAACCAGCTGGTAAGAGTCACCCCCACTATATCGAAGTCTGCCTCCTTCCAAGCGTCACACACATTAGACTCTCGCATGGAAGGTGAGAGACTTCGATATGGTGGGGGTGACTCTCAACAGACGGTTGATATTGCTCGGCTTCTTAGGTTCTTATATCGAAAAAAATCAGGGCTTTTTAGCATAGAGTGGTCTATACCTTTAGCGCATGGGCGCTTCCTTACGGCGAAAGAACGAATTTGTACGATTGCAGCAAGAGCTCGCCTTATTTTAGTAAGGAGCCTTGCTGCAATCGTACGAGTTCGTTCTTTCGCCGCAAGGAAGCGCCCATGCGCTAAAGCTACAGACCACTCCATGCTACAAAGCCCTGATTTTTTTCTCCGTGCACGGATACTCAAATACGTATTCCACAGCTTGTTCGTAAAAGGTGACAAAAGAGGAGTTTGAAGATATGACAACTTATTACGCCATATACTTCGGTACTAAGGTTGGGTGAGACTTAGGTCAGGAAGCCGAACCTCCGCGTAGTCTCTGCTCGTAATTTCACGAATCTTTGTCTGTCAGTGGGAAAAAATGCATGTTTCTAGACAAAATTCTGCACACAAGTAAAAATCTTAACGGATTTTAAAGTTTATTTTTAAATCTTCAGGAAGGTTTGCGCTATAAGCCTTGACTGACACTTTTTTTAATTATTTACAACATAACCTAAAAAATCATTTAAATCCTATTCAAATTCATTCTACAATGATTAACTACATCTACAAATGTATATAGGGAGTTTTAGTAGGTCACTTATGTTCATTTTTATGTCGCCTAGGCGTCATGAAAAAGCTAAAAAAGATCCCTATATATATTTGTAGATGTAGTTAATCATTGTAAGATAAATTTGAATAGTAAAATCCGTTACGATTTGACTTGTCAGAAGAATTTTGTCCAGAAGCTTTTATTTTTCCCACTGTGAGACGGGGTCGGAGCCGGAAGCTATATCGTTGCAATTCCACAGTAAAAACAAAGTCTTAAATTTAATGGTGGCTAGTTTTAATTTTTGACTTATCTTAAGCTATCAACTTTATTTAATCATATAAACTAACTGAAAATTAAAGTTAGTTGTACTCTTACTTAAATAAAACTCAGTTTGTAATTTATTTGTAATACACCGGACTTAATTTGAGATCCAATGGTATTAATAAAAAGTTAGATGAAATTAACTTCTAATAAGGTACGCTAACAGCTGACTGTAAGTCTGGCGAGGCTAAAAAAGTTGATTGTGACGTCACAAGGGACGCAATTTCGATGGGTTAGTGGAAAAAAAGGACACCTCGAATTATGTTTGAAAAAGAGGACACCTCGCATTTTAGTTGAAGAAAAGGACACGTCGAAAATATTCATTTTACATCAACTTTCGTTTGGAGATACTTTGTGTAATGTAATTGTTTTTCGAGTTTTTGTAATAGAAGATTTAAGAACATATTATCTTCATAGTTTTTTTAGCATAAAATATCATAAATCAATTACTTTACACATATTATCGTCAAACAAAAATGCATTTAAAATTAATATTTTCGAGGTGTCCTTTTCTTCAACTAAAAAGCGAGGTGTTCTCTTCTTGAACTAAAATTCGAGGTGTCCTTTTTTCCACTAACCCAGCGATTTGCAAACGTGAAAAGTCTGAATAGCGCGTCGCGTCGCCGGTTTACTTTTGACTCGTGTTTTATTAATAATATATAAGTCCATAAATTATATTTATAATTGGTGAATCTTAGACAGAAAGTTTAGTTTTATTAGTATGTTAATATTTTAATTCGATTATAAACAAGTTTATAAACATTTTATAATTTTAATTTCACCTAATATATATGTGCATTAGCATTTAATTTTTTATCTTAAAGAGAGAAATTTCCACTGATAGTTTTAATAATTGTTGTTTGTTATAAGAAATTAAATGTGACATATGTTTATTTTAATAAAATTCAAGAATATGAACATACACTGTAAAAACAAAGTCTTTATTTAAGGCGGTGTCAAAGTCGATTGGATTTTTGCATTGAGCTTTAATGGAAAAATCGCATCGACTTTGACACCGCCTTTAAGCTCGAAATTTGTCTTTTTTCAAGGTGTAAACGGAAGACTCCCCAATTGATACAAGTAAGGTGTTAAATAAACTAAAAATCAACTGTAAGCTTGTAAGAAGGCTGAAATTTAGCTAGATGGTTTGGCTAAATTTTAGCCTTCTTACTAGCTTACAGTTGAATTTCAGTTCATTTAACACCTTACTTGTATCAATTGGGGAGTATTCTTTTTAAACTTCTAATCATTACTGACATTCAGCCAACATGGTCTACTTCCGTTTAAACCTTGAAAAAAGACAAATTTCGGGCTTAAAGGAAGACTTTGTTTTTACAGTGTCGGTTAAGGGAGCGTTCACCATTGATGTCACTCAATTTTTCGGGATTTTTGACCCGCCCCCCTCCCCCTGTCATGCAATTTCACATGTAAAAATACATTGTGTTACACAGAAAAAAAGTCTTAAATCTGTGAAGGACTAATTTTAAAATCAGGCTTAATTTTAGTCTGTAACGATATTTTAGCCTCATAATTAACTTAAGAGTATTTTTAACACGCCTTAATCTTAAAGCAATACATATTTATGACTTATTTTTATATGTAAGTTTTAAATTTAGTCTCAGCGAGACTAGTAGAAACTTTAAAAAGTCAACAGATAAAATAAAGCCGAAATGTAGACTAGTTTTTAGTCCCCTAGCGTCTATAGTCCTCTGGAAAGGGAGACGCGCTTGGGCGTGATAGTTAAAAAGCAGCCAAATTAACCAGGCCTTCTTTATGTGTAAAACTCTGACAAGAATTATGTACATATCTTCTTCTAAACGTTTTTTATTTAGAGAATATAGTTAATAACTATAATTTTATATGCAATAGAAAAATAAATTTGAACTGTATTATTTACTACTTTTAAGTATTTAAGAAAGCTTTATATTAGTCACTATTTTGACTTGCAGAGTAAATTGAAGTTTAAAAGGAAACTACTTTTTTAACCCACATGTACAAAAATGGCGCTTTTAGATAGCTGACGACAGGGAGTAAAGTCACTAATTTGTTCAACCGTATGAAAATGGCGACCATTTTCTCCCATGTGCAAAAGTAACAGCTGATCCCATGCATTATTTTTGCCCAGGGGAGAAAACGGCTGCCATTTTCATACAAGTCGAAAAAGTGAATGACTTTTACTCCCTGTCGTCTGCTATCTGAAATCGCCACTTTTGTGCATTAGGAATAAAAAATATCGTAAGTAACATGGGAATAAAGGCAGCCAACTTGTTTACGATGATTTTTGTGACACTCGTTCCGGTCTCGGGGCGCCGTAAACAAATGGCTGCCTTTAAGTCGGTTCTAGAATGAGCACGGTTGTTCGTGTTTGCTATCGTGAACGTGTACGTGCTCCATGCTAAACTATATGGAACGCGTACACGTTCACGACAGCAAACACAAACGACTGTGCTCATTGTAGAACCGACTTTATACCCTTTATACCCTTGTTGCTTAATATACTATTAAGTCCACTTTTTGGCTATCGGCTATTTTTAAGACTACATAGCGACTTCATTCAAGCCTGAGTACCGATTTTTTTAAGACTCTTTTTACAAACTAATTTTAAGTCTAGAATGACTACTTTTTGTTACATCTTAAAATTAGCTCGTTTGTAGACTTTATCCAAGACTTTTTTTTCTGTGCACGTTTAGTAGAGACCCGTCCCCTCCTTCCTCCTTTTTCCACGATAGTCTCTGGACCCATCCTTTCTACGACAACCCGTGTTATTGCTAGAAATTATGCGCCCCTACAATCCGTGCGTACTGGAACACCAGGTAAAAAACTTGTGATAAGATTTTCCGTTTCCGCCTGCTCACATGGGGAACTTTCTCTGAATTTGTAAAATCCATTTATTCTTGCTGTTTGGTTGACTTTTAGTGAAAAACCCCGCCACCACGACAAGGTCTCCCCGATATATCCAAAATGTGCATGATGTTCGTCAGTGGACAATCATCGGCGGGAATTATTATTATTTTATTATTATTATTAAATAAATATTATTAATAAATATTAATTAATTAAAGCAGCCCAAGCAGCACGTAAAAGTATTGTAACATTACTGTAATTTTGTAATTATAGTAATATTAGTCCATCTCTAAGTACTATTACATTTTATGTAACCATGTTATATTGTAATATTACTGCAGTGTTACCTGTAATATTACCTTTAGGCGTAAAGTGCAATATTACCTTAATATTAAGTGCTATTTGAGAATAAAAATCAAGATTTCAAAGAGTTAAATTAAATCTTTAGTATTAAAATATGAAATTAAGTTTTAAATAAATTATAAAATAATTATAGGGTAGTCGAGAGAGGGCGTACAAAGTGTGCACAATATTGGGGTCCGGAACCTGGAGATGAAGTTTCAGCAGGTGGTTTTACTGTGACCACTTTGGAAGTGGACACGAATCCAGATTACACAGTATCGAAACTCTTACTCGCCAATAACAAGGTTTTTCATTTTGATCTATTAAATAAAATTAAATAAATACTTAAATCAACGATCACTACAAGTTAAGGTAGTAATATAATTAAAAGAAAAACGATTGTTTCATTAGATTTCAACAGCATATTTATTTTATTAAAATAAGAGAGTTAATATTATAAAGTAAAAATTTTTAAATTTTATGAATTCCAAAATCATACTTACACTAATTTTATAATGCTCGCTTTAAATCAGTGCCTGATTGGTAGGGTGGCGCTTTTCTCAATAAATTTCTTCCGCAATAGATGTTTTTCCCAATGGTCCAAATATTTTTTTTCCAATGGAAAATTTGACATTTAGTATCAAAATTTAAAGCAAATAAATACATACACTGGAAACTCAGAAGAGCGATATTCCGAAGAACGAAGCAGATATAGGCGTGGCGCGATAAGAGTCGGAGGGGAAGAAACGGACGAGTTCAGAAACTGAAATCTGCAAGCAGAAGCGCCTATTTTAAAAAAGGTTCGTGATGTTCACGTCGTGTGTGCTTTTAGTGATGTACGTCTAACCGATAAATGATCAACATCCTTCAAATGTTCTCGGTTGAAACAAACTTCAAGGAAATGATATTTTTGATTTTTCTTTGTTTTTGTTCGGCTCGTTTCGTTCGACAAAAATCGATTCTTGATGACAGTAAATTATATTATAAATGAAGGGTGGCATGATAAAAGGGGGAAAATAATTATAATTTTATGATTTTACAGAAAACGAAAATACATTTAAAAATTTCCCTGACCATTTAAGAAGAAGTATAATAAAACTGTTTCGAAATATTATTGCGCTTTACCAGTGGAAATACAATTTATGAAGATAAATATTAGTAAGACTACATATTATTGAGAAAAATAAGTAAAAGTGGACCATTTTGGGGTTACGTCAAATGCGCATATTTTCTTATAAAATTAATTTTTAAATAAATATATAGTTTAATGATAAACTGACAAATTTGTTTTTTAATATTGAATTGACAAATTGATTTAAGGAGTTAAACCACTCTAGAGCGTCAAAAAGAGCTTCTAATTTCAACATTTTTTTTTAAGAAAAGTTTAAAAGTAATGAAAAATATGTTTACATATCTCTATTAGGTACACTTTAAAGAGAAAAAAAAATACTTTATAAATTTTTTTTTGTTTAAAAACAGCAGATGTACATGCACGTGATGGAAATCCTTTGTAAAAAGAATTCATTCGCGGCCGGAAAGGTTTTTGTTATAATTTTCATCCTAGAACAGAAAACAAATTTTTTTCTCTACCCAGTAAAAAAAAACTAATTCAAATGAATTGAAACGAATTAACATTTTTGGTAGGCTCCAATTCGTATTTGTCACAAAGCGGGATTCACTCAAGCTCTTTGTATATTCAATTGAATTTAATTCAATATGTACCAATTTGTCCAAACGAATTCGCATTCGAAAGAAATGGCCAAGAAATGCATTGAATTCGTGCTAACGAATTGAAAAAAAAATTAAAGGCTCAAAACTTGTCCAGTGAATTGGTACGGATAGAAGGTTCGGAAGTTCAATACAGTTTCACGAATTCAGGAAAATTGCATCATGGCTCCAATTCGTATTTGTCACAAAGCGGGATTCACGAAAGCTCTTTGTGAATTCTTTTTAATTCATTTCAATTAGTTTTCGTTTACTGGGTAGCTATTGAAATGTAAAAATAGAAAAAAATTTGTTTTTTGTTCTAGGATCAAAATTGTACCAAAAACCTTTCCGGCCGCGAAGGATTTCTTTTTACAAAGAGTTTCCATCACGTACATGTACATCTGCAGTTTTTAAACAAAAAAAATTTATAAAGTATATTTTTTTCTCTTTAAAGTGTACCTGATTGAGATATGTAAACATATTTCTCATTACTTTTAAACTTTTCTTTAAAAAAAATTTTGAAATTAGAACCTCTTTTTGACGCTCTAGAGTGGTTTAACCCCTTAAAAAAAGTCTGCTTTAAAAAAGTTGTTTGTTTTTAAGAAAATTGTTAACCACTTCGGCGGCATGGCGTTCCAATTGGCGTTCCATGAGTAAGTGGCAGAAGCGTCAAAAAGTGCGAAAATGGCGTTCCTATTTAAACTTGATTTCTAAACTCTGTTAACAAATTAAGTTTACCAAACCAAATGTTTTTAAATATTTGAGATTATGAATCTTAAATTGATTTTGAAAAATTGAAATACACGGAGAGACCCACATTCGTAAAAATTACTAAAAATGGTTGCAATGACCGGAAATAAGGAGACTTTTAGCATAATGTGCTACAGAATTAGATAAATTTACAAAAGAAATAGATAAATTTGCTACATTGAAATAGCAAGTTTTAATATTTTGTGTAAGAGTTGTAAATTTAGCAAAAATTGATTATAGTTTTCTCTAATTTAATTAGACAAAATCTGACAAATGAAAACATTTTCCACTAAAACCTACGATCCACTGTAGTAATTTTTGGTGAGCAAGTGTGGCTAGCGAGTGCAGTCATATGGTGCCTGCATTTCTATTGGTTGCTAACTTCGTCAATCTCCATAATTGAGCCGATGCTATCCGATCATTGACAGTGACTATGTTTCGCGTATGTAAAATAAATTTGGATATTATCTACAATAATTAAATATAAAGTGAAACGTAGGTCGTTCGTTATCTCAGAAATTGACCATTATAAATTGATAAATTTTGCATTTATTCCTGTCCCAAGGACTATGTCTTATAATAAGTTGTTAAAAGTAAACTTCTTTCTCGTAAGTGCTGTAAATTTTCATCATTCAATATATAAGGAAACAAAGATGTATACTTTCAGCGAAATTTGTCGTCGTGCGTGCAGTTGTGTATTAGTGTATTAATTAACCGCGTCTATACATATAAGTGAAATAAACATGTGTGTGTCTTCAAATATTTATCCAACAAATATATAAGTGTGTGTGTGTCTGTGTATGTAAAAATCCTTCCAGTTTACCTCCGTTAGTCAAGAATTGACGGGAAACCGGCGACAAAAATCCGTATTTTTTCTTTCACTCTTTCTTTCTGCATTTACAAACGACTATAGTAATTTTACGTACACAATGCTTCTGAGTTTACTACAGTTGTTTGGAACTATTGGACGAAATAGTAAGAAACTTTGCTAATTTGGTGAACATTTGTCGGGATTAGTGACTTAGTGTAGAAAATAGTAAAAAATACAAAAAGTCCCCTTATTTCCGGTGGTTGCAATGTGAAAATAGTAAATTCTAGTGTGATTTTATACAAAAATTAGTAATCTCGGTCTCTCCGTGTAGGCGGATCCAGTAATGTGAACTATTTTTGATAAATATTGGAAAAGCATTCGTAAAAAATATTAAAAATTGGCTACATTAAAACCTTTATAAAACCATTTAACACCTCCAAAAAATAATTTTTTCTTGTCCTATTCACTTTCATTTATCTCAAATAATAAGAATATTTAATTTTGGCAACTTTAACTTGACTATACAGACTTTTGAAATCAAGTTCAAGTAGAAACGCCATTTTCACACTTTTGCCGCTTCTGCCACTTACTCATGGAACGCCAATTAGAACGCCATGCCGCCGAAGTGGTTTTAAATGTTTACTTTTGAAAGTAAGCAGTACTGAAATTTTCAAATGCAAACTACAAACAGGAATATTTAAAAATTAACAGAAGAACAATATTTAAGTTGTTCAAAATTCGATAAAGAATAAAACTATTTCTAAATATAGACATAAAATTTTTCAGCGAAATTTAATATATTTAATGATATCAAAAAGAACTCTCTAAATCTGAATTAGTAGTTTTCTACTAATGAAATAGTGCGGATTTGTTTACCAATTAAATTAGTAATTGTTTTTACTAATTTTTAGTAGTTTTTACATTCTCATCACATGAGAAAGTATTAGTTTTGGTCGAAAATTGACTTTTGCTAATTTTATGAAATCCTTACGTTTTGAGGTCCCCTGAACCCGAAAAACATGGTCCGGCGAGTCCGTCTATCTGTGTGTCTGTCTGTCTGTATGTCCGTCTGTAGACGGTAATATGTTGTTCCCACGATAACTCTTGAAAAACTTATCGGATCGTTTTTAAATTCAACACACTTAAACTTGGTGTAAAAATGAAGGCTAAGTTCGTTAACCAGCCATTTTCGTTGAAAACTACAAAAACTACGGTAGTTTCAAAATTTTGAAAACTCAATTTTTTTAAATTTCAGAATTTTTAACTTTATTTTATTTTAGATTAGAAAAATACAAACAACTTTTCTCTATAACATTGTTTTAAAAAAACTTTTTTTTTTAAGTTTTTGGGCCCGTCTAGCTTTACTGTGTTAAAAAAATTTTATTGGTTTTCTAATATCTTAAAACTTTTATAAAAATCTGTAGTTTACAATAGAACAAAAGAACAGTTTTAACTGTTTTTTGAAATTTTAAATTACTTCCTCATAGAGGAAGTATTGTAATACCAAAATTTTTCAAATTCGATTTTTACATTCTCATCATATGAGAAAGTATTAGTTTTGGTCGAAAATTGACTTTTGCTAATTTAATGAAATCTGGACGTTTTGGGGTCCCCTGAACCCAAAAAACATGGTCCGGCGATGGTGTCTGTCTGTTCGTCTGTCTGTCTTTTTGTCTGTCTGTCTGTCTGTCTGTAGATCAAAAATTTTGTTCCGACGATAACTCTTGAAAAACTTATCCGATCGTTTTTAAATTTAACACACTTAAAGTTGGTGCAAAAATGAAAGCTAAGTTCGTAAACTAGCTATTTTCGTCAGACACTACTTTTTTTTTAAGTTTTTGGGTCAGTCAGCTTAGGGAGCTTTCACAAATGATGTCACGTTTTTGGGGGCAGGGAAGGGGTCTCTACTAAACGTGACACAATGTATTTTTGCAAGTGAAATTGCATGAAGTAGCGTGACAGTGTAGGGGGGGTCTAAAATCCCGAAAAATTGCGTGACATCATTTGTGAACGCTCCCTTAACTGTGTTAAAGAATT